CTTGTGTTCAGCTGTGGGCCATGTCTCAGGGCACGCAGGCCAGCAGGGAAGATTCTTGCTCAAAATTTGTGTCTCACGACACCCAGCACATCCATTCTACCCACAAAGAACATCATAAGAGAAGCCAAATGTTGGATCAGGCCAATGGCCCATCCAGTCCAACACTCTCTCACACAGTGGCCAAAAATACCAGGTGCCACCAGGAGGTCCAGCAGTGGGGCCAGGACACTAGGAGCCCTCCCACTGTTGCCCCCCCCAAGCACCAAGAAGACAGAGCACCCCTTGCCCCAGACCGAGAGTTCCTATCTGTACCTTGTGGCTGATGGACCTCTGTGCCATAAAAAGGTGAAAGGTTTCCCTTGCTCGAAAGCTAGTCAAATCCGACTCTAGGGGGTGGTGCTCATCTCCGTTTCCAAGCCGAAGAGCCAGTGCTGTCCGAAGATGTTTCCATGGTCATGTGGCCAGCATGACTAAATGCCAAGGCACACAGAATGCTATTACTTTCCCACCAAAGCAGTACCTATTTATCTACTTGCAATTTCTTGCTTTCAAACTGCTATAAGCTCCTTTCTGAGGTGTGGTGACCAGAATTGTACACAGTACTCCAAATGAGGTTGCACCATCGATTTATACAGGGGCATTATAATACTGGCTGATTTGTTTTCAATTCCCTTCCTAATAATCCCCAGCATAGTTAGTGTTGGCCTTTTTTATTGCAGTTGCACAATGTCTCGACATTTTCAGTGAGTTATTTACTACAAGATCTCTCTCTTGGTCATTCTCTGCCAGTTTGGACCCCATCAACGTGTATTTATAGTTAGGATTGTTGGTCCCAGTGTGCATCACTTTGCATTTGCCCACATTGAACCCCATTTGCCACATTGATGCCACGCCCACTTGCCCATCCTCGACAGATCCCTTTGAAGTGCCTCAGAATCCTCCCTGGTTTTCACCACGCTGAACAATTTCGTGTCTGAAAGGGGTCACAGCTTCGCTCACAAATAATTCGCCATCTAGTATTGAAAACAGATCAGCCAATATCATAATGCCCCTATATAAATCAATGGTGCGACCTCATTTGGAATACTGTGTGCAATTCTGGTCACCACACCTTAAAAAGGATATAGCTTTGGAAAAAGTGCAGAAAAGGGCAACTCGAATGATAAAAGGGTTGGAACACTTTCCCTATGAGGAAAGGTTAAGGCGCTTAGGGCTCTTTAGCTTGGAGAAACGACGACTGAGGGGTGACGTGATTGAGGTTTATAAGATTATGCATGGGAAAGAGCAGGTAGAGAAAGAGGTACTTTTCTCCCTTTCTCACGATACAAGAACTCGTGGGCACTCCATGAAATTGCTGAGCGGTCGGGTTAGAATGGATAAAAGGAAGTACTTCTTCACCCAAAGAGTGATTAACATATGGAATTCACTGCCACGGGAGGTGGTGGCGGCTACAAACATGGACGGCTTCAAGAGGGAATTAGATAAGCATATGGAGCAGAGGTCCATCAGTGGCTATTAGCCACAGGGTATAGATAGGGACTCTGGGGCAAGGGATGCTCTGTCTTCTTGGTGTTTGAGGGGGGGGTCAACAGTGGGAGGGCTTCTAATGTCCTGGCCCCACTGGTGGACCTCCTGATGGCACCTGGTATTTCTGGCCACTGTGTGATACAGAGTGTTGGACTGGATGGACCTTTGGCCTGATCCAACATTGGCGTCTCTTATGTTCTTATGTTCTAGTGTTTTAAGTTCATTCTCTGCTAAATTATGAATAGCTGATCTTGGTTAATGGTTTGATGCTGATGATGGTTCGTAATTTGCTTTACTGTGTTTTGCGGTGCTGAAGACTGGCAGTGCTTAGTGTTCTTGAAGCTTTGGGGGCTTTAGTGATGGAGCTTACTGATGCAGCTGTTGAGATTCTGCAGCAGCCCTAACCTGGATAGCCCAGGCAAGCCTGACCTCATCAGATCTCAGAAGCTAAGCAGGGCCGACCTGGCAAGTATTTGTACGGGAGACCTCCAAAGAATACCAGGGCTGGGAGCCACTTCTTCGAA